TTTATCTTTTAATAAGTTTAATATCATGGCATTAAATTTTGTAAACGAAAAAACTCAATAAAAAAATAAAACAATAATTTATTATAATTGTGTTATACTTATTATTGTGTTTTCATTTTATAGTTGAAGTCATATTTTATAAGTTTTATTAAAATATGATGGTTAAACTCTAATTTTTTTAAATTATTCATTAACATGATATTATTTATTGTTGAATTTAACATAATTATTAAAAAAATAATTGAGTTTGATTATTTAAATTTTTTAAAATGTATATATATATATATATATATATATATATATATATATATATAATGTTTATCTTTAAAATTTGTTTTGGAAATGGTTTTATTCAATTTTTTATGTATTTGTATTATTATCAATAATTTAATTTTACATATTAATTAGTTTATTATAACAATATTTTAAAATTAAAAAAAAAGGAAATCACGTAATTTTAAACATTATTTATTATTTAAAATCTATAAGTTTGATTAGATTTTTTGAATTATGCTAAAGATATATACATGTTTTTCAATATAAACAGGATATAGTGATTCCACCTATCAATAATTGGACGACTATAATAATAATAATAATAATAATAATAATAATAATAATAATAATAATAATAATAATAATAATAATAAATATTTGTACAAATATAGTTTTTTTTATAAGTGCAAATTTATAATTTAACCATATCAAATTGTTACCAATTTAAAATCGTTTCTAATGGTCAAATGCTATATATATACTGTATATTAAACCTCCAACCCTAATCCACCAAAAAGGAAATTTCCAGATTCAGTCCCCTTTAATATCCACTTCTTCATCAATGGTGCTTCTCTACAACTACTTCATCTCTCTATTATAATATCTTATAATATCCTTTCCACTTCATCCCTTTTGCAAGCAATTAGAGAGCCCATCACCATATCCACTCACAGTTTTTATTTTGTGCAAGCAATCTGCTCTCTTCTTATTGAGTGAAAAGTAAAGATAATTGAAGAGAAAAATAATACACATGATCTTAATGAATAAATATACTTGTTTAAATCTTGCAATTAAAAACATCATTAAACTAATAAATAAATTCTCCATTTTCTAGGGCAATCTTTTTAAGAGGTTAAAGTCACATATTAATTAAGATAATAATAACCTTCCCCATTAAAAACACCTCCATCATGAACAGATATCTCTAACCAAGTTTAGGAAAGCTCACACAACATTATTTTGACAATATATTTTTAATGAAACAATTTTTTTTAGTCTTTTATATTTATTATTTTAATTTAAAAATATATAATTTTAGTCTCTAAAGACTAAATTAGGGAGATTATAATTATTTTTTAAAATATTTAAGTCTCTCAATATTTAATATTTATAACATCACCCGTGCAAACCCTAATTGAATTCGGACATGATATATGATTTAGTTATTGAAAGAACCTGATTAAATATAGGAGCGAAAGAATAATTTTATTCTTCCGACGTAACATTTTTCTTTTCAATGAAATTTTAAAATTATTTTATTTAAAACTGATTAACTAAAATATATCTAATAATAAAAATAAAATGAATTTCAAATTTTAAAAGACTACAAACAGAGTTAATGGAGTAGTTCATGTTTATATAAAATATTGATGGATTTTGAAAAAGTGACAAAGACTCTTCCATGATTTGCAGCAACCCCATAAAGAGGGTCTCTCTCTCTCTCCCACTCTTTAAAGAAAGTGCAGTTGAAAGTTTGACCTAATTCTACGTGACATTAACTTTAGTTGCATGATCAAATTTCTCTGCCTTTAGTTGCATGATAATGCAGTGTGAATCGATAGATAAATGTACGATAGGGGATACTTGAAAAGGTTGTTTCAATGAATGGATAGGGGATAAGGATTCCTGATATTTTTTTCTGCTACTTAGATAAACATAAGTTAGTGGAAAGCATATACGATGTTGTCACTTTTACACGCACTAACGTATGCATTCAGAAAGTACAAGTTTTAAATACAATCTAAGTTGTTTCCAATGGGAAACTTAACTAAAAATATGATAAATTTTCAAAGAAAGTTAGTCAAATGTATAAATTTTAAAAGTAGGTGGTAAAATATGTAAAAAATAACAATTCGAACAATTTTACAGCACGTATAATTTGGAATTCATTTTCAACTATTTCACATTATTCATTTTGGAAAAGTGCATAATAGAATTTATTATTATGAAATAAGATTTCTAAAATAATTTAAAATCTATATTCTTTTCATAAATGTTAAAACTAAAACTTCTCTATAGGTTATAGTTTTCGTTTTCTTCCATTTCGCTTTGATTTTGTGTAATCAATTAATTTTTGTGTTAAGCTTAAGAATTATATATATATATATATTGTGTCATTCCATTGTAATTATTATGGAGGTGAAAATTGTTAAGAGTCCTAAAATTCATTGAATTGAACCAATGTAAGCCCACATCCACAACATTCAAGCCCAACAAATGTTTCCAACATGGCTTCTGCTTTTTAGCAACTCTCAATTTTCTTCCTACACGCAATGATTTTATCAGAATTAGTTATAATTATTGTTCCTCATAATACTTTTCATATTGGTCCAAACTTTTATTAGAATTTATCATTCAAGTCATCAATCAACAAAGCAAAGCATGAAGATGAAAAATATTTATTTCTACCATTACCTCATAGAAAACAATGAATGAATAGTGTTTATAGATTTGACCTAAAAATATATAAAATTTTAACCCGAATTACGAAATTATTTGGTTAAATTATGATTTTAGTGATTAAATTTATTTATTTTCTAAATTTTAAAAACTCATTCTAACTCCATAAATTAAAAAAAAAAAAAAAGTCTACAAGAACTGTGGCAAAACAACCTTAAAATACTAGAAGGAGCCAATAAAAAAATCATATATATAATATATGACTATTTTTATATAAAAAATTTATAATTTCGTGTTTTCCTATCTTATATGTTTTCGTAAAGATTAATAAATATATTTCCACTCTCAATTTAATCGTAGTTAAAACTTTATAAAGGAAACAATAATAATATCAATTCATTAAAAAAAACATATTATTTACTGATACTCACTTGAACAAAATATTTTTTTATTAAAATATAGAGTCCCTCCCCTTTATGTTTTCAGAAATTTGAATTATTATCAGATTAAGAAATTTATCACTAGCAGGAATCAAATCCAAGTATCTTAGAGTTGAAGGTTGATATTCCAACCACTAAATTATTATGATATTCTAATAATAACTTACAAATAAATTATATTTATATTTATCCTGAGTGTAAATATATAAATATAAAATATATAAATACAAATATATTTATATATATTTGTATATTTATAAATATTTATATATTTATATAATTCTATATTTAAATAGTTATATATTTATATATTTACATATTTATATATTTATTTGTAAATTAATATTAAAAAATCTTAATAATTTAGTGGTTGGACTATCAGTCTCAAATATTAAGTTCAAATCCTATCTTAGGTAATATTTTGTAAATAATAGACTTTTTTTTCTGAAATGATTGATTGCAAATACATTTAGTCGTAGTCTCTAAAATAGTTGTAATATAAAAAAGTTTTTAAAAATAAAGTATTTTTAAATATTTTATCTAAATTAATATATTATCTTTACATAAAAGACTATATAAAAAGAAATAGAATATTCATGTAAAAATATAAATAGCATTAATTTTACAATAAAACTATAAAAATATTTCATTTAAAAAAAACACTTAGTTTTTATTTTATAAAATATAACAATATTAAAATTATTAAAACAAAAATAAGGGTGGACTGCGCCTAAAAGGTACAAGAATGGTTGTAAATATGGAATAGATTTCTTAATACCTTATTTATTTTAATTCCTATTTACAATATTATTGAATATTCAATTTTAAATTATTTTAAGTCCTCTCAACTTAAGACAAATTTAATTAATTCAATTTCATGCAGAAATTTCATCAACTAATTACATTTTCCTATTAACTCAATACAATTAAAATAAACTTTGTGTAAAAAAAAAAAAATCTGTCCACTAAATTACATTAACAAACAAATCCACAACAATATATAGCAACAAAAATAAAAAATAACATACAATATCACCATGCCATTAAAAGAGAAGTGCTCCCTATTTTGGAAACTAAAATAGAGTAACTAGTTTTTTTCTTTCTCTTAAATGAGAGTTACACTTTGACCTAAATAAATTTCAAGTTCTACGTTTGTATTTAGTTCATAATGCACATTTAAAAACCTTTAATTATTTTCTTTTACCTTAGGTACTAAAATCTGTCTCCTCTTTTTGGGGTATTTTTACCTTTTTATTATATATGTAAAATATAATAAAAAATTTATAATAATGATTAATCAATTCTCATCTCATTTGTGTTAATTTGTAGGATTCATCCTTATTTTTTATAGACTTTATCATAATATATAATTTAATTCTATGGTGAGAATTATGTTAATATTATTATATGTTAATTTGTTATTCTATGGTGACAATTATATTAATGTTATTATATGTTAATTTGTAGTATTCATCTTGATTTTTTATATATTTTATCATAATATATAATTTAACTTTATGGTAAGAATTATATTAAATTATATATTATAATATTATTGTATATTTAATTAAGGTAAGATTTCATTTCACCTCATTGTGACTATGTAAGATAAATTACTAACATTTAAAAGTAAGTTAGATTAAAATATTTTTGAACGGAATAAACATAAATGTCTATAATAAAGTGTGAGTTACCAACATAGTTATTATATATAAAAATGGAATCTTAATAGAAAATATAATGTTATATCACTGGGGTTAAACCTTTGTGCAAGGTGTTTTGAAACTCAATATCTTCTCATTCTCTTCTAATTAATATCTATCTATGGATATTGAGACATTGCTCAAAGAAACCTTTGTCTCACAAGAAAGCTGCACGAAAGATATGACTCCTTTGGGAAATCCTTCATCTAATGGATTCTTGCAAGATTTTCACCATATTGATCAGTTTTACTTCAATGTGACCTCATTCAATAATCCAATAATGCATACCCCAAAGTTTGAAGCTTTTGACAAATGCAACTTTACAGGTTCATCATCTGATTTTGATGTATACGAGTGCAAGCCTTTTGTGGAGAATAGCGTTAGCAAGCATACTCATGTTATGGACAATTTCCTTTATGGAAATCATAACTTGTTCCTCTCTCAAAGGAATATTGAACCCGATATGATGGTTGCAAATCAAATCTTTCTTCCTTTGAGTCCTCAAGAAATCAAGCCCTCCGATTTTGTTGCACCAGATGAAGTTTCATGCATATCCCCGGTGGATAATTACAAAAGAATTGGCGTGAACAAAAATAATAAACCCTATCCAACCACTAGAAGAACATGCAAAGTTCGCAAGAAGTCCAACATAGTAAAGGGGCAGTGGACACTAGAAGAAGATGGGTAAAAATATGAAAAAAACAATTCCATGAAATATAGTTTAAGGTTTTAAATTTATGTCGTGGTCGCAGTTTCGTTGATGTTATCAGAAAATTTTGATGATATGACTACGATCTGATTGTAAAAATCTGAAAAATCTTCACATTACAGTCGAAATGGTGGTCAAAAACCTTTATAAAATCTTGTCATTTAAACTGTATTCTTTGTTTACAATATGGAATATTGTATATATTTCAATTCTTTGAAAAATCTGCATCTGTGTTTTGCAAGAACAGGTTATTGATTCAACTGGTGGAACAATACGGGTTGAGGAAGTGGTCTCATATTGCAAAGATGTTGCCTGGGAGAATTGGAAAACAGTGCAGAGAGAGGTGGCATAACCACCTAAGGCCTGACATTAAGGTGAAAACTTTTGATCATATTTTATGTACATACATTATCTTGTTAATATGGTTTGAAATTTTGTTGTGGCATCATGCAGAAGGACACATGGAATGGTGAAGAGGATAAAATACTGATCGAAGCTCATTCTAAGATAGGAAATAAATGGGCAGAGATTGCCAAAAGGTTGCCAGGAAGAACTGAAAACTCGATCAAAAACCACTGGAATGCAACCAAGAGAAGGCAATATTCCAAAAGAAAGTGTCGATCAAAGTACCCTAGATGCACTCTTCTACAAGAGTATATCAAGAGCTTGAACTTAGACAAGAACCCCCCTAGAGATTATAGGAGAAAATCTTCTGCTAATTATGCTACTTCCATGAGTACCAAACCCAGCACAAGCAAAGCCACTGCACCAGCTTTGACCCAGACAGCTTTTCAATTTTGTGCCACTGAATGTTTGGCATCAAATTATGATTTCAATGCGGTCCCAGATTTCTTCTTTGGTGAGAATTTGTTTGAAGATGGGTGCTGTATCGATTCTCTTCTAGATGGTGTGTCTTGTTCTCCTCTAAAATTTGAAGGAAATTGGCAATATGATCCTATTATGGAGGGAATAAAGCCTTATGATCATGGAGCAATGGAGTGTGTTCCTGATGTTAATATCCATGAGAATCATGTTGAGACAGAGATGCCACTAGAGATGGTGGAGGTTGAAGTTAAGAAGGAGCTTGATTTGGTTGAGATGATGTATCAGATTAATTAATAACGAAATTGTTCATCTCTATGTAAACTTTTTCATGCATGGCTTCCACTATATATATATATATATATATACAACAACATTAACAATGAAATAATGTTGAAGCAACTTCAGAGGGATGGTGATATGATGGATCTTGGACCATAAGTTTCGATTTCAGAAGTATTTCAAAACACAACAATGGACAAAAAATATTCAGGGAGAAGACAAGAAAAATGTAATGCAGTAATAGTCAGTAATACTAATATTAGTGTAGTGAGTCAAGAAATTAATAATACTAATATTATAGATATTGTTGTGATTAAAGGTATTGTGGTTTATTTTCGGAAAACATATTTCATATGTTTTGAATTAGCACCATTGAGCAAAAGAAAATGGAATGGGGTCTTTCATTTCACATTTCTCCTTTATGGGAAATTTAAGAACTACTTCTATGTTGTTTTATAAACAATTTTTTAAAAACCTTTTTCTCTAGTTGTTTATTTTCCTTTTAAGACCTTTCTAAGTTTTCCACTGTTTAAATTTTTTTTATTTTAGTGGGAAAATATTAATTAATTAAATGAAAAGACTAAAAAAGTATACAAATTATTATCAAATTAAAAAGAGATTTGTTACATATGATACAGTGCTATCTTAATTCGATAATTTTTTCTTCCATGAATACATGTAAACAATAAATTAATTTTAATTAAATTAACATATATATATATATATATATATATATATATATATATTTTAAAACTCACATTAAGTGGAGACATATTAAATATTAGAAACGAGATAACAAAATGGAATATTGCAATTAACAATTGTCAAAAATTTCTACGAATTGTCCATAAAATTTTTAAAGGGTGCTATATACATACAACACTAGAGGCAATATGTTTTCTTATAACGAAATAAAAACATTGAAAAATTGAAAGATTAATGTTTAATTATACATAAAAGTTAAATATAGTTAATATTCTCTTAATTTTATCAACCTGAAATTATAATCAGCTTATATTATTTGTATTTTTAAACAATAAGTTTTAAAAAATACTAATGAAAGAATTAGAATCTAGTTTTATATATTTTTTTAATAGCGTAGTTGTATATTTATTTAAACGTTTAAGTTAAATATCTATAAATGAATATATTATTGAAAAAGAAATGGAATATAGTAGAATTTTATTTATTGCTATAAAATAGTGAGAGAAAAAGGTACATGTTAAAACATAAATTAAAATGGACAGTGGAAACATATGTATAATAGTAAATAAAAACGATTATTTTATAATCTTTTTTGGTATTAAAGAAAAAAATATAATTTATATTTATGTTATATTTTTTTTATGTGTCTCTTAATTTTTTTTAATTTAAAATAATAAATAAAATTATTATTTTTTTTATATTTCTCCGGTTCAATTTCTTCTTCTTTTTAAAAAAATTATCTCATGTTTATTGCTTTGAACGAATCATAATTTCAGAAATATATATATATATATATATATATATATATATATATATATATATATATATATATATATATATATATATAATAGAATAGAATACATAATCAAAATGTACCGCACGTTTTCCGTTAATTATGATAATGGGATTAATATTAAACGAAACTGAACTGAGCAGTTACGGAAGCGTTTATTATGTGTTAATTGAGTGATTTAATGTGTTAAGTATTTTTGTTAAGACTAATTAATTGATGCTACAGTAGTATAATTTTTTATTGAATTGACATCCAACAACTCAAAACTAAACTAAATGAAATACTTTAAGACATTGAATGTTAAGATTTACAAAATTATGACACTTAAAGCAATTAAATATATAATTAGGTATTTTAATTTTTAAAAATTAAATTAGTAATAATAAATAAATAAATAAATATACATGTAATCCACGTACAGAAAGTGATTTGTTGATATATAATATATTTTTAACTTTGACTGTCTATGAGTTTGGATTGGTTTCATTAGATTTGATCCTGTCCTATTACTGAATATTGCAAAAATAAAAATATTTATAAATTAAAAATTCTTTTATTAATATATTTTGATATGATTTTTTATATTCATACTATAAATGTATTTTGATTAAATAGTGTATGTGAATAACTTAAATTATATCTTAATTTTTAAAAAAATGGATGAAAATTTGAGAATGTATAACATGTTTATAATTGGTTTGAAACTAGGAAATTGAGTTTATCACTTAAATAAGATATAGAAGTCTGAAATTAATAAAAAGTAGTTTAAGAACCCATAGATGGGTTCAGCATTAAAAATGTTTCAATAAATGTTCAGGCGAAGAGACCATGACAAAAAGAAAAAGAGAAGAAGAAAAATAATATTTAATGTTTATAAATTTTATTTTTTATAGAATATATACAAGCAATAAATTCAAATAAAAAATATATTAGTATATAATAGATTGAGTTTATGTGTTTAAAACCAAAATCACCCTAATCAAAAGGAGATTTGATTTGATGGAGATGCACTATCAAGAATGTATTCTTTTGGTAAGTAATGTTAGTGGGTGTGATTAAATTAATGGTTGAATTTCATGTTCATGTGATGTTTCCTAGATGGAGCGATGCTTCATTCATTACCTTCATACCAAAGATAGCAATTTCATAAGGATTGGTGGGGGTGAATGTATAAGATTATGGCTACAGTTCAATCAACCACACTAAAAACTGTCATTTCTGAAATTGATAAGAGGCAAATTACAAGGTTGAAATTAATCTCAATAGTATCCACATGATACTGTTGACAAAGATATCTCTTAAGAATGTACTGATCATCAAAAATAATTTCAGATACTTTAAGCTATCGTCCAGGATTAAATTAATTTTTTCTAGAATAGTCTTGGGTCATTGAAGTTGATTGAAATACATTATAAAGATATATAAATTTTTTTAATTGTTGAATGATAGATTATTACTTGGATATTTGGATATTTGGAAACTTGATGTAAATTCAAGGAAAGAAAGGAAATGGAAGAAATAATATTATTATAAAATTATTTAAGATTAATATTAAGAATAACAAAGTGAGATATTTGATGATTTGAGAGGTTTTTTTATTGAAAGTTTGTTATTAAATTAATGTTTTTTTTTTATTTATGTATACAAATGGATAGATGTATTTATCAAAATTAATAAGTTAGTTATAAAGAATGTGTAGGTAATAATCACATATCAGAGATATTTGAATTCAAGATATTTGATATCAACTATACAGAAATTATTATAAAATAGTATCTTAACACTTTTATATAAATAAATTTAGTATCTTTTTCATTTTAATCTATCAATGGATTTTAATATTCACTTATTCAACTACTTATTGATTTAAGTATCAGAGAGTCTTTTGTACATATTTTTCATTCTTCTCTACATACTCGTCCAAATTTAAGAATATTAATATTTTCCTATTTGAGATAACAATATTTAGCATATGTCATAAATTGAAAATAAAGTCTCACTCCACTTATATCATTTAGTCTTTGACTGAAAATTATGTTTGATACATGAATCTAATATTACTTAAGAGTCGAAATAAATTATAATATATATACATCTTCCTCTCTCGAATCTATTGAGATATATTTATAAAAAAAAATGTGACAAACTATAAGTTTACGCCTTGAATGTATAATGAACCCTATCAATCCTATTCTCTCTAAGTATCCCTGCATATATGATGTGAGGTTGTTTTAGGTTAGATAGGTAGTACCCTTTTGTTTTCTAGCTGCTCGTCCAAACTCATACATTCCTATTCTATTCCAGGTGACAACAAGAAGAATATCATTCAATTGTAAAGTATACTGAATTGGTGGCGTTCATGCTTTGCATTAAGAATGCATTTTTCAGGAATTGGTACAGGTTATGGATCAAAACTCATTCCACTTCTATGTTCAAAGCCATTGACAATGTTGAGCCTTGGAGACCGAGAGGAAGATGGCTTAAAAACTTAAAATTTTGTAAATCAATGCATGTTCATATTATTCACGGGAAGGTAATAGTTGTACTGACATTATTGTTAAATGGGCCTCAATAAATTTACTTTTGAATGATATTCAGTTATGTCTTGTAGTATTAGTCTTGAAATTTTTAGGAATAAATATAACTTCTCGAAATATAGGTTTTCATAATGGATTTGGTCTAGTTCCCTATTATTTTGTAATATTCCTTTTTTTTTTTATTGTTATTATCATCCTTATTGGAGACATATGATTGATGACGATGAAGTATTAACCTAGTTAAGATTTCATCTCTCAATAGTTATGCTTACCATCAAGAGCTTTAAGAAAAAGTTTTAATTGAAGGTCACTGCTCTGATAACTCATCTACTTGGTAGAATTTAGAAAGATATCGGGAGGGTTTGTAGAGATGACAATTTGAAGTAGTTCGAGAAGATGTTCACATGGATGGTGTAAAATAAAAGGAAAATAAAAAATGTTGACGGAACTATAAAAAAAACATATAAAATCTATAACATTATTTTTAGTGTAAAGATTGCAGAAGTACCAGACAAAGAAAATGTAGCACAATATGGGAACTCTTACTCTCTCTTTAGCAATAGCATTTTCCAACCAGTAGTGGCAAGCTAACATGTACTAACAGAAGCCACCAAATCAACATGTTTAAAAACCCAATTATTTATGACTTGACAGTTGGACAATAAATTTACAATTCATTAATATATATATATATATATATATATATATATATATATATCAATTGTGCAACTTAAGAACCCAAAATTGACATAATATATATTCATAAGAATCTAGTTAAAATTTGGCTCGTCAAATTGGGGTTAAAATCACCAGAACCACCCAAGCATGCTATGCTTAACTTCGTTGGTAAATGTTGATAATAGCAGATGTTTACATAAATGTTTGGTAGGTTTCACACATCAATCTATACATAAGTGTTCGGTGTATTCCTTTTATGCAAATCGCATTACCCTACCAGAACATAATGGTTATGCTTTTGCTTGCGGAAGCCACACTGCAGAATTTGTACATAAAAAACATAGCTGCATCTCAAATAAGTTCAAGACAAGCCGAACTCAGATGCAACTACAATCACAATTAATGCAAGGGTCCATTTGTGCAAAAGTGTACTCAGTACGCAATATTACTGACAGATTAATAAGGTCCATTTCAAAGATCTATGGCTGATTATATATATATATGCTTGACGAATACATTTAAAACACACCTTGATGTGGAATTCGACCAAAATATTTTTTTTTTTCTTGAGGCAGAACCAATTAGGTACACTTACTAAGACATATATAATGAAATCCACAAGATTAAAAAAAAAAAAAAAAGGACATGAGAGGGTAAACAAAGATAATCCTCATACTCTATGTCACGCCTACAAATAAATTAGAATTGCTGGTTGCAGCTATATATGGCTCTTCGTGATGCAACTGACAAAATTTTACCACTGAATATTAAGCTGTTTTTGGCTTTGACTTAATTCGCTTCACCCTCGAATAGAGGAACACGCCAGCAAGAGCTACAGCAGTCCCTGTAGAAAATATAAATAAATCTCAGCAACGGCGTGAAGAGAGATATTCAATAGTTAAGAAATCCTCAAATGTTTTCCAGTTCAAACCGAAAAGAACCAACTTTACCAAAAGCATTCACGGGTGAGACAGGTGTTTGGAAAAAGATGACAGAGCTCACAATGACCACAACCCGCTTCACACAATTGCCCACAGAGTGGGTAACAGGTGATACCCTTTGCAATATCATATAAGACACCTGCAGGTTCATTCACAGAAAACCATCACTATATCATCCCAGAATAGAGCACCATTTAACTACTACAGAAGGGAGACAAGTAACCGATTATAGTACAAGGTCTTATAGGGCCCAGCAAGCAAGAAGCAACGAGTAAAATATTTGCTTATAACTTGCCTTTTTATTTATAACAAGCCAAACTATTTATTTCTTAAGCACCCAATTCTTCAGATAAAACAAGTCAATTTTTTAATTCAATTTAAATACTCTAAGTAAATACCACTGTAATTATAAAAGTTATTTTAACTATGAATGAAGTCAACTCTAAAAGTTACATGCCTTCTACAAGCAAAATACCCCTTTTCACGGACATAACAGAGAATACAAGCACATAATATATCTCAAAGCACAATAGTTGCACTGCCGCTTAACTTGTCTAAATATTATTGATCGCTAAGTACACCATGAGAGAAATACAAGAGAGTTTACTCTATTAGTACTATGTTAAGCATTTCATGTCGCACAATTTACTGTTTCCTAATAAGGAATGGTTATTTATATTTAATATTGCAGTCAAAAGATGAAATCCTTGGGAACCACAAAAAAACTCTTGAACAGAAGTTGGTTAGGAAGGTTCAATCTCCACTAGACCAGCTATCCCCTTCCCTTCCCAGATGCTAGCAAGTTGCAAACTTGCAACTTCAAAGCATCTCCAAAAAAATAAAAATATGTAAAGGGGCACAATAATGCATAAAAGAGCAAAACTTACTTGTTGATACGCATGGAAACAGAGTGCAGCAAGAAGAGATCTGATGTAAAGTTGTCTAACATTTAACCCCTGTCAAGAAAGGTAAATTAAAATTAGCAAACTCAACAAAATTATATATTTTGGTTGCAGCTATCATAATGACCACTAAATCTATTTTAACCAACAATTTACTCACAGCAGATTGCAAGTAAGCAGGGGTAAATTTGACACCCTCCTTGAAGACAGCCACAGGTGCTAGCAAGAAGAAGGACATTACTGTAATTATAGAGAAGAGAGTAATGTTGTCCATAGAATCCTGAGAAGAAAATAAATTTTCGTTATTTTCTGTTATATTAGAAGAATCACAAATACCTCAATATCAACCATGAAATATTTCCAAACATTTGGAAGTGGTCACAGATCATATTACCTCTTTGTTAACCATGGCCTTTTTGCTAAGAACATTACGGGATTGATTTGTCACATTGGATGCCATTGCACTCCAAAATCCAGCCCTGTGCACCATTCCAAAAAAGAATATTACAATTTGCATGATCAAAAACTCTCTTCATATCCCACCAGCTAACCTCTCTTCTTTCTCTAGAAGGTACAAGGCAAGGAAGCAGACATCTCACCAATTGAAAGAGGCCTCAGTAACAGATGCCAGTGCAACTCCACCAACAATAGGCACAAGGGAACCAACCACCCATGGTGTAGGAAACTGTAAGAGGGAGAAATAAAGAATAAAATCAAAGAAATTAATGTACCAAATATTTGTATTTTTCTTTTAAAGGAAAGAACTTTATGAGAAGAGGAGTGTTTGCAACACACTCTCTACCGGTCAATATCCTGTTAAAATTAATTCAAAACTAGAAAATCAGCATAGATACTCCCAAATATTTATCATTTTTGATAAATTTTAATTAATAGTAAATAGATTGTCAGAAAATGTGTCCCTAGCATTTCTCATATGAAAAGTATACCAATATGATAATTATCATCAATTTCTGACACTAATAATCGTAAGAAAGTGGTACTTTCGATTAATTACATTAAGTAACACAGTTTAAACTACATATCTAACCTCTCCAAGAAACATGGCAGAAAGGACCACTGAAAAGAATGGCTCCATGGCCTTGATCGTGTGAGTGAAGGACACAGCCACCTTCCCAAGACTCATATTAGTGAAAAGATTTCCCAATGTATGCACCGCAGCTAGCGGCAAGATCGCTCCAAGCTGCCACACACAATCAACCTTAACAAGACAAAACACAACACAATAAACACAGAAATTCAACACAGGAGAGATCAAAATACCATAGCACTACTGAGCTTCGGCCTCTTGTAGAGATTCAAACCCCACATAAATGCCACGAGCACAGTCCCAACGGCAAATTGAACAAGAGTCACCGTTACCGGATAATGAAAAGCCTTCAACACCTACGAATAACAAAAGCCAAAACAAAACCGAAACACGCACACATCAAGTCAAAACTAAATTCAAATCCTCATCAAACAAGCATTTCCGTTTACAATTCCTGAACATTATCACAGAATCCGAAACCATAACTGAAACACCCACTTACAGGTTTCCGTCGTTACCGAAAATTCAAAAAGCTTAGAAGCATACAGTACCACAAGTGTTGATTCTCAATCAAAATTGAAGTTTCACCTAGTTATTATTAAATATTGTTCCATCTAGAAACTTTCAAAATCCATGGTGATAACACTTTGGATCCATCATCACCGCATTTAAAGACATTTGAAGTATTGTTCCTTTTAACTCTAGTCCGGTTTTGTTCTTAAAAGTCTCACCATTAACGATAGAGATGCATACAGACTATTTCTCAATTGCAATTCCATCTCGATTCCCACCTACTTGGGATTTATGAGACCTACAGGGATTTATGAACTACTCTTCATCTCAATTCCCACTTATTTGCATTCATGAGAGTATACAGGAACAAATAGTGATGCTGATTAACGAAGTAAACTCTAATTATAATTTATATATATATATACACACACACACACACACACATATATATATATATAAACAAATATTAATGCCTTTAGGTTGTAAAATATAACAAATCTAAGGGCGTGTTTGGCAAATGATAAAGTTTCAGCAAAATCGTTTCTCATCTGTTTAATACAAGAGAGATCTGGTGAGAAGGACCTGTTTGTTGTAGATATTGAAGTAGATGTTGAAGAGGTACCAGAGGCCAAACAAGGCGCCGAGCTCTAGAGTTTTGAACAGCGAGTTGTCGGCGGGCGCGCTGTCGGGAACGGCGCTTTCAGCGGCGCGCGGAGGGGAGGGAGGGAGGGGGCGGAACTTGAAGGAAGAGGAAGGGGAGAGCGTCCAAGATCGGCGAAGGAAGGAAGTGGAAGAGGAAGAGGAAGAGGCGCCATTGGAGTTCACAGCTTCTGTGTGTTTGGCGAAAAGTCTGAGAGAAAGGAAAGGTCTAGAAGCGTGTTGTAGAGAAGTGTTGCGGAGAGGAAGAGATAGAGAGGGCGAGAGAGTAAAAGCGACGCTCTGCATTTTCGAGATCTGAGAAAAAGAAAGGAAGGAATGAATGGGAACACAAGAGTTTTGGTTTCTCTTGTGTTGCGGTTGGTGGTTGTGATGTGTTGTCGGAGGAGTTGTGTTGCGGTGTGGTGTTAACTTTAGCTTTTATGGGAGAAAGAGAGGGAGAGTCCCTCGTAGTGTCCGCCACCCCAAGGTTTTGTTTGGTGTGTGCTTGTGCTAGAGTGGGAGATGAATGAATGGGAGTAGGTGGTTTTTTTTTTGAAAGAGAAGATACTTTTGTTTGAGATGTGTATGTACACTTGAATATGAAATGAATAATTCATGATGGACAAAAAAAAAACAGAAAAGGAACAAAAAATTATCTAGATACTAAAATGTCGAATATGCTTGCGCTGACGAGTGATTCGTGTTTTATTTTTCAAAACACTTTTTAACACATTTTTTTTAATAGGCGTTTTGTTCGTTTTAACACATAGTATATTTAGTCTCAAGTGTAATGAAAGCTTTTCACCCACTTATTAGGTTCAAATTGAATCAAAACGTGTGTAAATTGAATTTTTGATGAAAAAAAAAAATATTGTTGACGTGGAAGTGGTAAAACAGACCAAACATGGTAGATTGACTCACAGTCAATTCTTTGACGTCTAGTTCATTCTTTCCGTTACAAGCGAAACAATTTAATGTCTAATTTTTATTTTTATATTTATATTAAATGTAAATATAAAAAATAATTTATTAAAATAAAAATAATAAATTATAGATTAAATAGGTAATTTAGTCCTTTTATTTATTAAAATATTTTAATGTGATCCCAAAATTTTTAAAATTTTCAATTTAAACATGAATATTGAAATTAATGTCAAATTTGGACTACCATTATGTATATTTTAATTTTGTTATATAAAATGTCTAGTTGAAGTATTAGTTCGATGTGATTAGGTTATTAGTTATAGTTATGTGACAAATTTGTTACGTCACATTAAAATTGCAGAAAGAAAAACAAAAAAGAGTCGCGAATGTGTTTAAGATTTGAACAATTGAGAGTTTGTGCAAATAGGTGAGAAAAAGTGAGAGGATCTACAACGATAAGGGAGGTGGGAGTTTCATTTGTGACGACAGTAGAGGTTTAGGATTCCAATCGTCGTCGTGTGTGAGATTGACTTTGACGAAGGAGGAGGAGATTGGTTCCATTGACAGTGGGAGTTTAGGGTTTCAATCGCTCTCGTTATCGTAGTGACAAACCCAAAATGAAACCACCCTCCTCCTCCTTCATCACAAATGGAATTTGTACCTCTACGACAACATTGCATATCCTTACGTTTTCCCTAACTCATTTGCACAAACTCTTAATTATTCAAATCTTAAACACATTTGCGGCATTTATTACTTTCTTCCTGCAATTTTAATGTGACATAGCAAATTTGTCATGTAACTATAATCAATCACCTAACCATATCAGAACTGATACTCCAACTAGACATCTAATATAACAGAGTCAAAATATAAATAATGGTAGTTCAAAATTGACATCAATTTCAATATTCATGTTTAAATTGAAAATTTAAAAATTTGTGGGACCATATTCAAACATTTAAAAAAATAAAGGGAGTAAATTACCTATTTAACCTAAATTATAATTTAAAAGATCATAATTTCTATGGTATGTTGTTTGAAGATTATTCATCTACTAGGTTTGTAATTTAAATAATGAACATGTTTGTAAATTTAAGTTTTAATTATTAATTGTAATAGAGTAATTTAATATCAATATAATAATTTTAATTTATTTAATTAAAAACATAATTAATTACTTTGAACTGAAAATATTTACATTTGGTTTTTCTAATATGTTATTTCATACAAGGTTAAATAAATAAAAAATCTTAACTCGTATTAATTATCGTCTGAACCCGAACTATCTTTGCCATAGATAATATAAACATACCGATTGTTATTAAAATTAAAAACAAAATTAAATATTATTTATTTCTAAATTTAATGAAGAAACTAAAAGAAAAAAAGGGGAAGAAAGTATGTATTCCGTAATTAATGGCATGTAAAATAAGTGAGAAATAAGATTAATTTTCTCATCATGTCGTTCAAATTTCAAACAATCAATTTATTCTTATTGTTGTTATTCTTATTTTAATAACATTTTTCTATCTCTTAAATGGATCCTAATCATATGATTTTTTTTAATCTGAAAAACAATATATTTTATAGAAAAAAATTTTAAAATAAAAAAATTACACAATCAAACAAATTCTTAATTCTCGTAACTGAACTCTCGAGATTGTTTTTTTTCCTTGTCGTGAACAATAATATTTAGTCGTGTCTGAATTAAAATTATGATTTTTTTTTTAATTTCAATACTAAATTCACATAAGGTAATTAATTAAGTGAAAATAATGTGTTTTGAAGGGACAAGACGCGTTAGAACCCTAATAAATCCTATATAAGAGATTTATGGTTATGGAATTCTAATTTGAACATTATTCCTTTTATTGTATTTGTCGTAGAACAACTCATCGATCGTAACCTCTGGAGTGTAAATCAAATGATATATCTCCTTAGTTTTAAACAGGTGTGGATATATGGTTAGGTTTGTTTTGTCCCATCTTAGTTCATTTTTAATTTTCATATTTCTCTTGGTACAATAAAATATTTATAAAAAAAATACTTTAATTCATTTAAATAAGTTTTTTTTTCATAAAATTAATTATAAGCTTTATTTGATAAATTAAAATAATTACTATAAAAATAATAATATTATCTTAGATTGTAATATACAATTTGATGTTAATATGTTCTAAATAAATTCTTAGTTTCATTTAGGATTACATAGAATGACATTTTCAAGAAAAGGGTGTATTTGTCGATATTGATTAAATCGCGTAAGAAAAATATCACATCATCTAAATTTATGTCCAAATTGAATTGAGATCTTGAAATTTATGTCATGAGTAAAAATAGCCATGATCAAAAATTAAAATTCTTTTAAATAATGTTGATATTTATATTTTCTTTTCATCATGACATTGTTAAAAAATATTTATTGATTTTGTAATTACAAATTAAAAAAATTAGTTGTCAACTTAGTAAAATTTCCTCCTCTAACACAAGTACGTGTTTTTTATTTACAAAGTTTGAATGTAAATATTTAAGGAATTCAAAATCTAATGACATCTTATTTATCATTTACATTACGTGTATATGTAATATTATTATGCAAAAATCATGAAAGATTTACATAAAATAAATATAAATATAATATATATTAGTAGAGTATTTTATAATATATATATATATATATATATATATATATATAAATAAGAGATTCATTTACGAATGACATTTATTTTCCATTCTTATCGTTATTTTCTAATAAATTAAAATAAAAATTTATCTCAAATATTAAATAATAAAAAAATTGTAATTCTTATTCTTAAAATAAATCATCCTTTTATATATATATATATATATATATATATATATATATATATATATATATATTAGATTCCTAGTAATTTAGACACTTAAATTTTAAATTATATTATCAAAGTTTAAATTTTGTTATTCAATTATTTTAACCAAAATATTAGAGGAATAATTATAATTTTAAAAATAGAATATAATTTTTAATATTTTAAGAAAAGTAATTATATAAATAAAATATGTATTTGTCTGAATTTTTATATTTATTATATTTTGGTACATATCCAAGTCTCACATTGCTTAAGAATCGAAATAAAGGTAATTTTTTTATATTCTTCTCTCTCAACTTATTAAGACATTTTTTAAGGATAAAATCGTAAAAAACTTGAATTCTAAATGCACATTTTTTTAGAAGGAACACACTGAAATATTCTTCTAATTAATTCATTTAAATACATATTCTGATAATTATTTATTGGGTAATCTAAGTGTGAGTTAAGTTTCATTAAGAATAAGAAAGTTGAAATATAACTCATAATCTAAGCCTTAAGGTTTTAGGTTAAGAGTGATGTCAATCATTTATGTGAGTTGGATTCATGTCTTATTTAATGTTATTTCTCCCTAGTAAAACCATCTCAAAAGACCTAACAGTGGTATCAGAGTCGAAAGTTTATCAGCAGTTTAAGAGTAGTTTTTGTATCAAAAGTCTTTCTAAAAGTGGGTTAGGTAAGCGTGTCCCGTTATGATGAACAAAAGTACATGAGAGGACTACGTGCTTGAGGAGATGTACCAATATAAAGAGACTCACACTTAAGGGAAAAATTGTTTGGTAATCTAAGTGTGAGTTAAGTTAAGTCTCACATTAAGTAAAAATGAGAAAGTTCCTTAAGGTTTTGGATGAAAAGACATGTCATATTTTCTTATATGGTTAGTTCATGTTTCATTTGTAAAAATCTTTCTATTATTAACCCCTCAAAAATACACAAAATATATATATATATATATATATATATATATATATATATATATATATATATATAAACTCTTTTTTTCTATTATAGAGACTTAAGTATGAATCGAAGTATCTTTTTAGATAATAACTATAAAGTTTGACCTAACGAGATATCAAAACAAAAATTATAAAGAAGAACCTTATTAAGCTTATTTATCATGATAATTTTTTTTAATGAGAACAAAATATAATTTTGTATAATTAATCAAAATTATAAATTATTATTTTTCAAAAAATTATATGTAACTCTATAAAATAGTTTTATATTTAAACACAATATTAGTTTATACATAATATAATATAGTATTTAAAGGATAATTTATTATTATTAAAAATAACAAATATAATTTAATACCTAAAATGTCCTTCTTAAATTAACAAATATAATTTAATACCTAAAATATCCTAACAAGGAGCATCCTATTTTTTCAAATAATATCATTGTTAAAAAATTTATATTATCTTTATTTATTTTTTCTTTTATTAATTTACACGGTAACCTTAATGTACCTTATTAAAGTTATTTATTATTATAATTTTTTTATAAAAGCAAAGTATAATTTAA